CAGAGCTGCTCCAGAAAAATGGCGAAAATGATGGTGCTGTTTTGATGGGGGTTACTGGCAATGTGTCTTCTGCTATAAAAATTTTTTTAAAATGTAAACCTTCACCATACATTTTTATCTTACCTGGTACACTGTGGGGTCTTTCTGGTGGTGAGAAAGCTGTACACAAGCAGCACAAAAGTTTGGATTTTGATGTCTTCACGGGCTGGCGATGTGTGGCCTGCCCCTCTCTCGGGCCACAGCCCCCAGGCAGCGGTCTGTCACCAGCAGGAGTGCCAATGCCACAGTAGGCTTTGCTGCTAAGCCAGGACTTCAGCCAGTCAAGGGTATTGCTGCATTCTTAGCATTCGGTATTTTCAACTCTTGGGGGCTTATCTGGCTGTGGCGGCCCCATAAGTGAGGAGCTGCTGCATTTCTGTTCTCCACTGTCATGGACTGCTGTGATTTTCACACTCGTGGAGTTCCAGGGTTACCTCTGGGGAGGGTGGGTCCAAAGTGATGTGTGCCCTGCCTCGCTCACCTGACCTCCCAGGTGGCCCCAAGCTCACCCGTCCCAGGACTGTTGCCAGTGGGGTAGAGGTGAGGTGTGTGTCCCATCACCACCTGATCTCCATCAGGCCCAACCTGTGCACGTGCTTCGCTCTCCTGGCAGCGGCTTCCTGGCTCTCTGGAGAGGTTCTCAGGCAGCCTCTAGGTCTTTCCCAGAGTGCTGTCAGATCTTCAGGCCTGGGCTGGCGACTCTCCCACGCTCACCCCACCAGGCCTCGGTGTGGGATGGCCCGAGCAGGAGGCAGCGTGTTGGCCTGACCAGAAGCTCTTCTTGAGGGCTCGAGGTAGCCTGCACTTCTGGGCCTGCATTTCACGTGGAACTGTGTGAACAAGTTCCCTAACCAAAATAGGACATCGGCCTTGCCCCTGCCGCCTTTTGATCATAATCCCATTCCCGACTTGGACCTTTCCCTGCTGTGTAAGGAACAGCAGTGCGGCAGAGGAAAGCGGTTCCACCTTGCCCAGGAAAAGGACGGTGGGCTGAACAGGAGCAACACGGAGCGGCCCTAGAGGAGATGGCGCCACCTAGTGGTGTGGAACGGCAGCCATGTGTTGGAAAGATGGAAAAACAGTGAATTTAGCTTTTGATTTCTTAAAAATTTCTTTCTAAAGGATAGAGGGCCACCTCCTGGTGCCCTTTGCTTCTCAGCTGTAGGAGTCTGAATTCCTGAACGGACTCAGGAATGTGCTGGGTGGTTCTGGAGACCTCTTGGGTACTTGGGTCCCCTCAAATCGAGACGGGATGCTCCTCAACATGAGGGTGAAAAGTTCTGATATTCATGAAGGAAAAGTGATCTGTTTCACTGTCACACTGTCTTGCTTCTATTGGGAAGTTGATTAAATCATGACAAATTTTCCAAAGTTGGTAAATAAACGGCAGCTCCCTTGGCTAAATTCAGATCTTACTAACTTCTTGGCCGAAGTCAGACTTTGATGGCTGAAGGAAGTGTGTCAGCACAGCCCATAACTCTGGCCTGGCAGGGCAGGGTCTTCTGCTCACCCACTCACCCCAGGCACACACCTGCCCATGCAGGGCTGCTGGAGGGACAGGCTTTTTACCAAAAGGTATGCATTTTCCACTTTGGTTTTAGTTAAGAGGTCAGAAACTACCAAAATGGAGCCAAACTCTAAGGTAAAGTTACAGAATAAGATGTGTGTGTGTGTGTGTGTGTGTGTGTGTGTGTGTGTATGTATGTGCATGTTCTCTGGTTGGCAAATTGTTGTGCTTCATGTTCTGCACACTTGGCCTGAAGTAGAGAATTAAAACAATTATCCAGTGTCCCCCAGGGCCTCAGAGCTCGCAGGGCTTTGGGAAGTGACTGGATTATGGGGCTGTTAGAAGGAGGGGTTGGGTTGGAAGAGGGGGTCACTGGGGAGTGGCCTGGAGGGGAGCAGCTCCCTCCCCAGCTCCTCAGGCCCCTGGGCACCGGCTGACCATGGACTGCACGTACTAAAAACTAAACCAAAATAGCCTCTCCTCCTATCAGCGGTGGATGTTGGGCCTTGTGTCTCAGGGACAAGAAGATGACTCAGACAGCCACATAATCAGGGCCCTCACCATCTCCAGTAAACCCCCTTTGGGCTAAGACTGTGGAGAGGTTGAGACAAGCACTTGAGTCCAGCCAGCAGCTTTCCTCTTGGGCCTCAGGAAACCACAGAATTTTCCTATTGGCTCCTGCAAGCAGCAGGATTTAGGGGCCAGTGCAAATGCCAGCCTTGGTCTGGTGCCTCATCGGGTGTTTGTAGCTGTTGGCAGGATGGGTGCATTAGGTCTGAATTTCTACCTCTGCTAAGAAGTTGTCTCCACCGCTCTGTGTCCCGTCACGCAGGTGACCGACCGCAGTCTGTGGTCAGAGCCTAGGGAAAGCACCTGGCATTGCAGGGAGACAAACAGCAGGTGGTGACCAGGCTCCCTTCTCACTCTGTGGAAGTCTCCTGCTTCTGGAGTAGAGAACAATGCCTGTTTGAACCTTGGGGAACCCACCAAGCTTTTGCTCAGTGAAATTTAAAAGCCATTTACTTCAGTTTCTCTTCTATCCAATAAAATATAAAATATACTTTTAAATGCATGTTTCTTGCTTTTCACACGATCCAGATCACAGTCTGGCAGCCCTGGGAAACTGCTTTCTACCCTGACCTCTGCACGCAGCCAGAGATGGTACACTGCCACCATCTACTCGTGCTGACAACTGGACTGGATGAGCCAGGCACACGCGGGGTGTGTGGAGGTGTGTTGTGGAGGTGTGGCCTTGGACACGCCCTATGCTGCAGGACCTTCCTCTTGGGCACTGTTCCTCGGCCCTGCTTCCTGGCTGCCATGCCCTGTGCAGCCTTCCTCTGCACAGCCTTCCACATGATGTTTCTGCCACAGAGCCTCCTGACTACGGACTCAATCTTCTGAAACTGGGAGCCAAATTAAACCTCTCCTCCTTTAAGCTGTGCCTGTTGGGTCCTGGGTCTCAGCAACAGGAAAGCTGATACATAAAACGTACCGGAGAAGTGGGGTCAAGGAGACCATGTACAGTCGGCCAGGTTCTGTCTCCACGACCCACCCAGACACACCCAGTGGTGCTTTCTCCTCTACTAGGTGCCTCTTAATCCAATGAAGCTCACACTTCAAGATTAACAGTCAGGATTCACCACCTGTCAACTTCACACCCAAACACATCTCCTTAAGCCACACCTAATCACCAAATAGAGGCAACACCACACTCATAATTATGCCTAACTATCCTGCATACAACCGGAAATGCAATAATCTTTTCCTCAACATCTCCATACTTTCAGCATTTTTCAAAAGTCCAAGTCTCTCCTGAGACCTAGCTGCAAACCTATGTAAAAATAAAAAACAAGTTACATAACTCCAAGGTACAATGTCACAGGGTAAACCTTCACCTTCCAAAAGGAACAGGGGCCGGGGATTTAGCGGTTCTGCCGCCTGCCTTGCAAGCGCAAGGACCCAAGTTCAATCCCCAGTACCCCCCCAAAAAAAAGTTAAACAAAAGGGAGGAACAGGAAGATAGAAGAGAATCTGACAAACATTAAGTCCTGTAGCTGCATATCTGGCATCGAGAGCGCAACGTGATAAACTGAGTGTCCAAAGAGCTTCAGGGCCCCCACACCTACGGTCTTGCCAGGTGCAGCCCTCATGGCCTCTCGTGGGCTAGTGCCATCCTCAGCCTGCAGTCTTGCTCAGCTCAGCCCATATCCCTGCCCTCTCCAAAGTCCAGAGGGCTTCACTCCCACAGTTTCACACACTGCCTTTCAGGGGCTCCTTGCCTGGCCTCCCCGGCCTTCTTTCGAAATCTGGGTGGAAGCCTTGATGACTCCACAACACTTATTTTCTGTGTATCAGTAAAAGCACACCACACGGATGATGCCAAGATCCGCTGTCAGTGGAAGCAGCAGCCAGGCCCCCTCGCACTGTGACTGCAGCAGCCTCTGAGTGCCTGGGTGGCTGAGCACCCTGCAATGAGTCCTGGGGAACCAACTCCCTAGCAAGCTGCTCTCCAGCAGGTTGAAAACTTCTGTTGTCTGAGGTTCCTTCAGGTCATCTTTCTTCTCTGAATACATTACTTGGCTTCTTTTTAGCAGTTTTAGTATCTTTAGGAGCCACACTTCCTCTGGCCCAACTCTGCACACGGTTCCTTCCAGTCCAAAATACATTTTTCAAATTCTGTGCCCCACCTTCTGCCTGATTCTCATTACAGATCTGACTAAAAGAAGCCAGAAGCCACCATGCCACAGCCTGAATGCTAGGCTGTCTTCAAATTTCCTCTACCTGATAAATCAGTCCACTTCCTTTAAGTCCCTTGCAAAGTCTCAGGACACAGGCAAAACACAGACAGATGTTCTGCCTCAGTGTAAGTAACACACATGACCTGCAGCCCAAATACCAGTGGAATCTCGGCTCCCAACTGGCTTTGATGGTGTGCATTTCTATCAGCAACTGGCTCTTCTGAGTTCTGAGCAGAACCACCCAGCGGGTGCCGCTCTCAGCAATGTAAGACTGCTCTAGGTGATACCGCCAAGCCTTTCTAAACACCTCCTACAAACCAGTTCCAAAAGATTCTGAACCACTTGGTCAGGTACAATCACGCCAACAACCCCACTCGAGTACCAATTTTCTGTACCTGTCAGCTTTCCTACCCTTGAGACACAATATCCGATATCCACAACTTAAAGGAAAGGTTCAATTTAGCTCAGTTTTAAGAGATTCAGTTCATGGTCAACAGAGTTCAAGGCAGAAACTGCATGGCTGGAAGGGAAGGGCGAGCCAAAGGGAGGCTTAGGGAGGACCAGGAATCAGAGCCGGGGAGCAGCGCCAGAGCGAAGAGCATTAGGGACACAGGCAGAATCTGAGGTCAGGACTCCGTGACCCGCCCAGACACAGCGTGCGCTCTACACTCTGCTGGGCATTTCCTAATTCAGTGAAGCGACAGTCACAGTACTTAGGGTCACGCAATTTATTTTTTACAAATGTTCCAGCCAAAATTTTGCCTCGAATCTCAGAAACAACTTGGACTTGGGCTTCTGAAAAATGTCGGCACTTTTTCAGTCTTTGGAGAGAGAGCGAGTGCATTCCTGGTTGTGTGCCGAATAGTTGTATCACATGAGGCACAATTACGAGCTTGCTGCTATCTTTATGTGGAGGTCAGTATGGTTTACGGAGATGTCGAGCCGAGAAGGGGTGAATCTGTTGGTTAACCTGATCCAACAACCTGGCTGGACTGAGAAACATCCAGGGGGCTCCTCGAGGGCACCAGGATGAGTCCTGGGAGTACCATGTCCGGTGATGCAACACCCTCCACACACCTGACACTTGCGGTGCACGTTTCAGATCTGAACCACAGCACCCAGGAAGTCTCACCGGTCTCCGTCTGGCTCTGATTCTCTCATCCCTAGGAAAATGTGAAAGCTGCAGATCTGAGGAAGACAGGAGCGGTCAGATCTGGAACTCTGCGTGTCACGTGTTGGCATTTTCGGACATTCGAAAGGCATCTGGTGTTCCGGGACACGAGGCCCGGCTACTAGCCCAGCAAATACACAGCATCTCCCAGTCTGATTTTCCCTGGACTTTCCAGAGCAAAGTACTGTCCGAAGAGGGGTAACTTCCCATATAACTTCTGCTCTGAGGGGTCGCACTGGCGGTAACTGCAACAGGAGGACAAGCACTGTGAGTCGCAGGCAGGCAGAGGCTGAGGCGGGACCCACCGCACAGCCCGAGTCACCAGACTCGGCCGTGCAGCTGGCAGCCCACGGGGCCCAGACGGAACACAGGAGGGCAGTCCACGGACGCTTCCCCTGCGGCACCGGCAGAGACCACCTGCCGGACAGGCCCGACCACCCTCCTCCGCGTCTCCTCCTGTCACCGACCTAGGTCCTGCCAGTGCCGTGGGCTCGGGGCGCCGGGCCCATCTCCCCAGACATCCCTCTCCCTCCGTCCCTGCCGCCCCTGCCTCAGAACCACCCTGCGCGGGATCACACGGCTCCCTCCGTGGTCTCACACCCAGCACTCTCCGAGGCGCATTCTCAGAGGAACCGCTGTCATTTCCTAAGCCACCTCGTGTCCCCCCACCCCCACAAATGCCTGCCCATGCTGTCTCCGTCTGTTTTGGCCTTGTCGTTCCGAGGCTACAAAACCTTCAGTAGCTCCCCAGTGCTGAAGAAACGCATTGCTGCTCTTTGGCTTGGCAGGAGAGACATTCTGCCTGGTCCAGCCAACTCCGGAACCTGAGGCCCTGCTCCTTCTCCGTACGTGGGCGGCACCCACTGGATTCCTTGGCACCCTTCCCTCCCTGTTCCTACAAATGTGATCCTGTGGGCCCCTCCTCCACGTCCCCAAGGCAGCGCAATTCCACGTTTCCTCCAAGCCCACCCCAAACACTGCGTGGGCCAGGGAGGGAGCCAGGACACCAAGGCGGGGACTCACAGCTCGTCCAGGGTTTGGGGCTCAAGCTGCTGTCCTGCAGGACAGGGAGCCAGGCAGGGCCGTGTCCCTTCCCTCGTCCCACTTATGCCAGTGCTGGCCAGGGACAGCACCTGTGGCAACGGACCCCTCCTATGGAAGCAGTTCTGCCAGGAGAACTCAGGAAGCTCAGGGAAAAGGCACAGGAGCAGCGACGACACAGCCAGACCCTCAGCCCCATCTTCCTCTCTGCTGTTTCTACTGGTACTGAGAGCACTAACTTCATGCTGTCTTGCATTTAAGAGGGAAAATTTTTTAAAGAGAAAATAAAACTACTCCAACAACTTGGATCAAATGCTGTGCTCCAACTGAGAGATGCCAGGGTGTGCCCCTTCTGTGCCCCATCCTGGTACAGGGTCCACTGTACTGAGCCCCTCAGAAATATGCTGTTGAACAAATGAATGATTAGAAAATAAATGAAAACTGCTCCCCTGAGCTGTGACCTGCCCAGGCATGGACCCGGGACCGAGCTAGTGCCAGGCAGGCTCAGCAGGCAGCGCAGGCACGGAGCCCCTGGTGTGGAGAGCAGCCCCTCGGCCAGGCAGGGCGACGCAGAGCTACCTCGGGTGGGAATTCTCTGTGTGAGAGGCGCATGCTGTCCCCATAGCCTAGGGCTCGTGCTGACCTGCCGTACAACTGTCTCTGTGCTGTCCCAACTGCCCGACAACCCCCGTCTGAGCACCAGGCCTGCTGGTCACCGCATTCTCCCTGCAGGGGAGCAGATGGGACCCTCACGGTCGCACCACCCCCAGCCCACCTCGAAGCTGCAGAAGGTGTCACCTGGGCTGCAGGCACCGTCCACACTGCAGTCTGGGGACAGGCGTGCAAGAGCTCCAGGAGCAGGAACTGGGCCTCAGCTGGCCCCAGGCTGCCAGGCGGCCCGAGCCTTGGTGGCTGCAGGCCGCGGGGTCCCCTTCCCCTAACTAACCAACCCCTCCAGTGTCTGCCACTGCTGCCCTTGGGGACCAAGGCAAGGCCACTGGCGACCCCTTGTGGGGAAGAGGAGGCCATGCAGTCAGCCTGTTAAAACATGGCTGGGGACAGAAGACCGTACCATCTCACATATATATAATTTCTATGGTAGTTATTAAATTAAAAATTAATTAAGAGGAGACTTTCTTAGTGCCTCTTCTTTCAACAAATACAGAACACACCCTGCTCTAGTGGGTCCCAGATGTGGAAGTCACCGCCCTACCTCCTCAGCGTCTCCAGCGGCTCCTTCCTGTTCATGATGCCAGTGTCTGGGTCCACCGTGGTGAGGACACACCTGGATACACACGCCAGTCAGCTGGGACACAGGAGCGCCGCCCACCCGCCCGCCCGCAGGAACAGGAGGGCACCTCACCTGGAGCAGGCCATCACTCTTCTCAGCCGTGTGTTCCCAACGAGGAGCTCGTCCCAGGTGTCCTAGGAGGACAGGCACAGGCGCTCAGGGCCCCGCCCAACACGGCGCGAGGGGACCTCTAGGCCCACACTCAGGTCCTCACCACAGAGACAGCAGGCATTTTTCTCTTTAGTACTGGGGTTTAAGCCCAGATCTCAGCCGTGTTCCCAACGAGGAGCTCGTCCCAGGTGTCCTAGGAGGACAGGCACAGGCGCTCAGGGCCCCGCCCAACACGGCGCGAGGGGACCTCTAGGCCCACACTCAGGTCCTCACCACAGAGACAGCAGGCATTTTTCTCTTTAGTACTGGGGTTTAAGCCCAGAGCCTCTGCACTGAGTTGCAAAATTGCCCAGGATGGGCTTCAGCTTGCAATTCTGCCTTGGCCTCCCAGAGTGCTGACACTCCGAGTCCATTTCCCAGAGACTTCCTGCTGCATGGGTAATGCTGTCCTGGAAACAGCAACCAGAGTCGCAGTCCAGTGCACTCCAGGGTGAAGGGAAGGAGGAGGTGTGGACGGGCCCAGGACACAGGCTGTGCGGGAGGCCATGCCAGCCGGAGACACATGGGCACAGGGGCTGTCACTGTGTGTGTGTTCCGAGTCCCCCGGCCAGAGACGCAGGAGCTGGGGTCCTGGGAGCCACTCCTGGCAGATCTCCATGGAGACCACGACAAGCCGCCTGCCCACATAGGCAGCCTGAGTCCCTGGGGGAACAGGACAACTGCGTGTGAACAGCGAAAGCCAGCAAACGCTCTCAAGAACACCAGAAAACCGGAGAAGAGGGAGAGGCCGTGAGCCGTGAGAGGGTCTTGCCGTGTGAATACTCAGCGCCCTGGGTTTCGGGGTCGCACCTCCAGCCAGAGGGCAGCAATCAGGGGTCAGGACAGTGGGGACACCAGGACAGAGCCTGAGACCAGACCGAGGGTCACAACAGCCCACCCTGTCCCCTTGTGGTCGGGCACTGAATTCCGAGTGTGCCATGAGTGATATGTGTATCGCACGGTTTGTTTTTGCTTTGCTTTGTTTTGTTGGAAATCGGAAAATGGGTATCTTTCCCCACAGCCCAGAAAACCAGGTGTTCTGGGCCACAGCCCTGCAAGCACTTCTCCACCAGGGGGCGCTGTGGTGGTGGGGAACAAATGGGTACAGAGGGCAGGGAGGGCGGGGGAAATACTTCACTAAGACCAGGGAAATGCCCAGGGGCCTTCTCTGTGAAAGAAAAAATCCCACAGGCTGAGTCACAGGAAAAGGAGGCAAAAACTTAAAAAATCCGCCGTGGGGCAAGCAGCTTTGGCAAATGGGAGGAAAAGAAAACTGTTATGGGGGCCTCACCCTGGGGGCCCAGGGTCCGGTTACCATGGAGGTACCGGGGGTCCCAGGACACACTACTAGCTAGGGACGAGCAGGGAGGACAAGACGCAGGCAGGTCCCAGCTGGCCAGGAGGGCAGGCAACGGACGGTCAGACTCAGGGAGGAAAGCACGGGAGGAAAGTCCCCACAGCGCCAGGTGCACCGCCAGGAAGGGGGTGTGCGTCGAGGTGAGGGGTCACATTTCGGGGAGCAGAGGCAATGTGTCAGGCTGCAATAAACCTGTAAGTTTAAACATTCACCCATTTTTTTGGATTACCCTTGGTCGATCAAATGTTTAGGGCAATTTACGCATTAAATACACCTTATTCGCCGAGCTGGTGCCACGAGATTTCCAGCTCTTCCCCAAAGTCGGAATGATCATGAAAGGCCATTCTGAATCAATCCAGGACATCGAGGCAGCCAGGACAGAGCTACTGAAGACCCTTAGGAAAGAGGGCTCCAGAGCTGCCTCAGAGAGTCGCAAGGACAAGGGGATGAACATGTTCAAAGTGCGGGAGGATTGTGAAGTGAGTTAATAGCAATGTGTCTTTAATTGATACTTTTTACTAACTTTTAGTCTCTGTGTGTTTTTAATCATATCTTGTACATATAGGTTCTAGGTCCAACTTGCAGTGTGGAGTTTTTAAGGCAGGGAAGACAGGCTGTGGCGAGACTATGCAGAAACGGGAGTTGCAGAGGGACCTCAGGCCTTTGGAGAAACAGGGCCTGAAATGGAGGCCACCACAGGGACAGAGGACCAGCCAACTCCTGGGCCCCGACCTGCTGCTCATTAAAAGCAGCATTAAAAGCAGGATTTTCATTTTCTTCTAAGGCATCAGGGACTTAAAAGTGGTTTAGTTAAGATACAAGTGGGTCCTCAGGGCCAGCAGATGCCCACTAGGCATGGTGAACCTCCAGCCAGCATCTGCCTGGAAACCATCAGCACAGACCAAACCGAAACCACCCTGAGCTCTCGGGGCTTGCTCTCCCCTTCCAGACCTAGGGCACCAGGATGAGACTCACAGGACCCCAACTACCGAGGAGACCAGAAGGGGCCAGGCGGGCCAAGCCCCATGCACCCAGTCCTAGCAGCCTGGGGGCAAGCTGGGGTCACACCTCCCATTTGGGGGCTCCTCAGCCCATCCAGAGACAGAGCCACAAAGGCCCTGAGCGAGCCGGTCGGGTGCATGGGTAGACGGCTGGCGCTGTAGGCCCACGCCACCAGCACCACGCTGTCATCCACGTCAGGGACCCACATGGGTGAGTGAGGCACAGCAGGACCCACACCGAGAGACCACGCTCTCCCAGCCACTGCACAGCTCGGTGGCCTGGGCTGTCACCCCTTCCCTCACCTGCACCCTTCCAGATCGCTCCTTTCATAGACCCAAGTAGCATCCTGGGTAGAAGTGGGCACACCACTCCCCAGGCAAGGTGCAGAGCCTGTAGGTAGCAGGAGGACGCCATAGCCGGGCCTCCTGCTCCGGGGTGGACGTGGGGTCCCCTCCCTGCCTCTCACAGCCCCGCCCATGACAGAGCAAGCAGCAGAACCAGCTGAGCTCAGGGTGAGGATTCCAGAGCTCAGACACCAGCTGCTCGGGCCACAAGGGGGAACACATGAGGCCACTTTCCTGTCCTGTCCGTCTCCTCCTCCTTGCCATACACAAGCACGGGTGCTGCTGGAACCCTGAATCTCTCCTGAGCACCTGTGTCGCTGTTGAGTGTCCATAGCTGGTGGCTACTCACTGAGCCCCTGGGCCACCAGGGAGAAAAATCCACCTCAACACCTGCAGTGCTACACAGGGCGGACACCCGAGGGCTGACCAGGCAGCATCAGCAGTGACCTGGGCCCATGCAGGGCCCACCGCAGCCTTGCAGTGACTGTGAGTGTCCCCGGGAGCAGCCAGCGCACTCCATGCTCAGCCACTCAGGCCCAGTGCCCAAGGTCCCCTGCGAGGCCCGGCCTCACCGCCTCCGAGGCTGCTGTGCCTGTCTCCCCGTGACCCACATGTGCGTCTGCACTTCCAGGGCCCCGCGAATCCAAAGCCTGAGCCCTTGTGAGGGACAGAGTAAGAAATAAGGCACACCAAAGACTTTTATACTCTAAGAAAGAAGTCAAATCTAGGGAAAAAAGCAAGGAAGGCAAAACGTCACCTCTTCGTAGACCCCGCATCCGGAGATGACAATGTTGGGTCTGAAGTTGGTCGCTTTCACTTTCTTCTCCAGCCTGGAGTTCAGGTCAGCCAGGGAGGCCTCAGAAAGGACCAGGAATGGGCTGGCATCCGAGTAGGCGACCTGATGGGGGACAGGCACCGTCACAGGACATGGCCTAAAACACCTTCGAGGACTGCGTCTAGGACCCTCCACAAGTGGTCTTTGTAAGTATTTCTCTGGGTCTTTTGGCAGAAAAGTCAGTGACTGGAAACCCTACCCAGCCTCAGACTCACACACAGCAGTGGGGAGCCCAGCCTTGGTCTCTGGGGCTGCCAGCATGTGCCTGGGGAAACCGCCACCTACCCAAGCCTCCAATGGCCCCAGTGCATAACAGAAAGGTGGGTCTGATCACCTTGTCATGCTGGAATAAAATGTGCACTAATTCTGTCAACAGATACTAGTTTTTGTTCAGCCTGCAAGCTAATGCTAAGTACTTTTATCTTGACTATATCATTTTTTACTGTCCTGGTGATTAAATAGAGAACCTTCACACTGAGCTTCATCTATAACTCTTGATTTGAAGGCAAAATTGCCCAGACTGGGCTCAAACTTGTGATACTCTTGCCTCAGCCTCTCAAAGTGCTGGAATGACAGGTGTGTGCCACCAAACCTGGCTTGAACGTAATATTTTTAATGGTAAAAGTAGCACACGTTGCTACCAACCCTACTCGAAGATGAGCCCCTGCAGTGTCCTTGCTTTCAGGACCAGCCTGGCCCCTCGAAGTCTGTGTCCCTGTACGTACCAACATGCACCACTGTGCTCTGATGTGCACCTGCACACGGGCACACTGTGGCCTCCTCACAGTTATGACAGAGTAGAGACTGGTGGAGAATGGCTCTGAACCGCTCCTGGACTAGAACACACCAGGGCCCCCCAAATCAAGGAGCAGCCTGCTGCTCCTGTGGGCGGGGCTTCACTTGTGTCCACTGCCTGGGGAACCACAGCACCAAGTCCCCGTGTCTGCAGCGCCCGGAGACCATGCCCACTGCCCAGTGACACCCGCTCACCTGATCCAAGGGCCCAAACGGAGCCCTGACTTGCTGAGAGCTCCGGGGCCGCATGTGGGGCTCAAAGTGCACCAGGCGGTAGGGCTTCGACTGCAGGAAGCTGGTGATCCACTGTGCAGCCGCCTCACCACAGTCCCGGCCCTGCACCTCCAGGCCATGCACCCTGCAGGTGGCAGACACAGCGCGGCACTGCTGAGGACCTGGGCACCTGGCCACACCCACACCACTGCAATGCTATTGGCACCCCTCGCCTCCAGAGGGCTCCAAGACAGTGTATCCCAAATGGACACAGAAGGGCTGCACCCTGTGCGTCCAGATGTCACCCAAAAGCCTCATGTGGTCACAGGTGTGGCTTTTCAGAGGCGGCTGGACATAGGGCGTGTGATGCTGGGATTAAGGGTGCTGGGTACAAGTGGATATTAAGGATGGATCTAAAGGGACAGAAAGAAGGCAGGCCTACTCTGCTGCTGCTGCTTTGCTGCCTTCTGCCTGCCATGGACTGTTTCTCCTCTTCGATGCCCCTCTGCAATGCTACCCTGCCTTGGAGCCAGCTGACCATAGAATGAAACCTTTTCTCCTCTAACTTTGGGTGTTGAGCATTTTGTCTCAGCAATGAGAAAAGAAATTAAGACAAAGACTGAGCAGAAATCTTTATTAATAGGCCTGGCTCTCCATGGCCAGTACAGTGATCCTGAAACAGTAACATTTATGAAAATGTTCCACAAAACCAAAACCATTATAAGGAGCAGGAGGAATCAACTTGGATTGTATCATTACTAATAGATCCACCCCAATATGCAGCTGTGTGCGGCTGCTTGGGGTTCGGTGAGTTGCACAGCTGTGCAGAGGCAGTAAGAGTCATAGCACTGGCCAGATGACCATGTGGGGTTCCAGGTGCCTCCATGGGGCCCTGGGTACAACATTAAAAATGGTGCCCTGCATGGGGACAAAGTGATTCTCTCCAGCAGGGGATAATTAGTCTTTCACTCTTTTTTGCTTTCTGTGTGTCTCGTATTATGTCACCCACACTAGCCTTGAACTTGTGACCGCCTTGCCTCAGGCTCCCCAGTGCTGGGAACAGGGGAGGGCACCTTGCATCTGACCGCTAACTCAGCAACCTCTGACAGTCACTCCTGTCACCAAGAAAGAGCTAGAATCTGGAAACATTTCACGTGGTCTGTCCTTGTTTCAGGTACCTGCTATACCTGGAAAATCACACGGGTGACCATGGGAATAAATACGTCCAAGGTACTGTCAAAGCTGGACAGATTTAAAGAAAGCTATTAAGTAAGGAGGGGTGCGGAGAGTCGGTGTGGCTCTGACTCCTGAGGGGCAAAGCTCGCACTCGCACTCCTGGCAGGGTTTCCTCGCAGGCCCTGCGGGCCGAGCAAAGGGCTTCGGCACCCACACAGCACCCACCCCTGGGCTGCACGCACCCTCACCGGGGCAGGTGTTCTTTCCCCTCAGGACCTCCCTTCCTTAGGTTAAACATCACCCTGCCAGTGTGCTACCCCGCTACCTCTGCCATCTGCAACCCCTTTCTTAACTCAGATTCGGGAGAACTCAGTTTCCCCAAGAGAAACCGGAAAAGTCCTACGACACTGCACAGACCTCTTCCGGTCCAGGATGCTGTGCCTGCCACCTCACCCAGCCTGGTCCCTGATCCTGTGTGACAGTGACTTTCTCTCGATGACCTGGCGATATGCTTTTGCTCCATTTTCTACAGGGGAGTCTGTGTGTGTGGTTTTTTAGACGGGGTCTCACTGTGTAGCCCAGGCTGGCCTCGAACTCCCCCAATCCCACTGACTGCCTCTTAAGTGCTAGTTTTGCAGGTGTGCACCACCAGGCCAGCTTCCAGCTGGGCATTTTGCATCCCTTGTCTGAACACGGGCTGGGAAGCTGCTTCCTGCTGGGTCCCCACAGTTCCGGGCACTGAGTCCTCACGGGGCACATCTGGACTCATCCTAAGGATCGGTGATGCTCCTGCAGGATCCGGACAGGGTCCCAGCCCCCCTCCCCCCGCCGCATAACACCTTGTACCCCTGCCCTCCTCACCTGCACGTGCGCACTGGGTTGGTGGCGGGTGTTTTGATAGGCAGCAGCAGGTCTTTAGTGTAGGCTGCGCTGAGAGTCAGGGTGTCGCCTTCACAGCTCAGAGAAATCAGGACCATGCGAGGCTCCTGTCGAGCAGTCACCATGTTCTCATCCTCATTGATCACAAGCCAAAACCTGACCATTTCCAAACATAGGAGGTGTGTGGGCCACCCGGACGCTGGGCAGCCTGCCCCTGCCAGAGCTGCAGCCATACACAGTCATCTCTGATGTCCTCTCTAGAGGCCCTGCGTGCGTGGTGTGCGTGTGTGTGTGTGTGAGAGACAAACTTCAACAGGGCAGCAGGCAAGACTGACTCTGCCAGAACCTTTCAAACGGACGAACCCAACAGGACGCACACGGCACACGTGTGAAGGTGTAAATGGGTGATGAGAAACAGGGAGGCAGGGGGAGGGCTTCTGCAGATGGGAGCAGAATCTAGGGGTGGAGGGGGCAACGGGAAGGAAAAGGGTGAAGATGTGGGTCCTGCACCACTTCCCACAACAGGGTATTATTACGCACCACAAACTTGGACTAACGAGAATTTTTTAAATGGGTTACGGGTAGCAAAATGCAGCCGGACTGCAGTAACAGTTCTGGCGTCCTACAGCACGGGCGGGGGTGGTAATTCACAGTAACTTCAGCTAGGTCTTATGACTATCTAGAAGAAAGGAGCTTGAAAGCTCTAAACACAAATCAATGATCAGTTAATGACCCTGAGTTCATCAGTACGTGTTGCACATGGGTACGGAAACATCACAGTGAACTGCACAGATACGTACAACTGTTACAAGCTAACCAAAAAAATTTTAAACCGCTTAAGGAGACGGAAATGTTAAGTGGTCTGACTTGGACATCACACACTTACACATATATAATGAATCGTCACCTGGTAAATTAAAATAATCAATACAAAATTTAAAATGAACAAATAAAAACGAAAAAATATTATATTTTCATCTCGGATTGCCAGGAAGCCTGACTGCATCCTTAAACATTCCTCAGAGGAGGAGAAGAATCAGTTCACAAGGACGCCTGGAGGGCCTGAGGGCAGGAGAAAGTTGGAGAGAGAGGAGGCAGCAGGGAATGGACTTGGGGAGACAGAAATAAAAATTCCCTGCCTGTGCTGAGGGCAGACACCTCACACCCTGTAGAAACATTGTGCTTTTCGATGCAGTTACAATGTTTCAATATTCAGAACTGTGAATTCTGCAATTTGCTAAAAGGCCTCCTGTCAATCTGGTGAATATTTTTTTAGAGCCTGGTACTGCTGGCCTTAGAGGAACTTCCTAGAAAATAAATGGAGAAATAAGAGCAACAGAGAGGTGCTTCCGGAAAAAGAACACGCTGGTTCAGGTGACCACTCAGGCTCCCGAGGAAACAAAACACACTAGGGCATTTGGTTTGATTTCATGGTAACCACTAGAGAATCTGGCCTGTGCTTTGGGAGCCCCAGACCTGAAAGAAAATAGCAAACACCTGTGGTCACGAGAGACCTGCCTTGCCTGTCTCCAGCAGGTTATTGCGGCTGATAGAGAGCCGGGCTAGCAGTCTCCCCTCCATCCTTCCTGGCCTCAAATCTATAAAAGCGATCAGTAAGTATCTTTCTCCACCTCTTCCTAAAAAGCAAACCCAATCTCGTGTCCCTCATTCAAAATCCCTCTGTGGCTTCTGGTTTTCCATCAAACTCTAACCACCAAGCAAGGCACTCGGGGTCCAAGATCCAGCAGCCTTCCAGCATGCCAGTATCTCGTAATATCTACTGTAACTCCAGCAAAATATGTATACACATAAAACGCCTGGCCTGTCCCGAGGTATGGACCCAAATAACTGAACACAGACTCAGACCCTGCTCTTCGACATTCCCTGCAGCGGCATCCAGTGTCACTGCGGAGTTACAGCCCGCGTGCCTCTCCACGGGAAAGGATTTTTTCTTTTTTCACAAGAGATTTTAACCATTTCCGGTCTGGCCATCCCTAAGGGCGCGGTTCCGTGGCAGCAGGCACATGAGCACTGTGGCACACCTGCACTACCCGTTTCCAAACCCTGGCATCATCCCCAAGCAAACCCTGGGCCCACGAGCACTGACCATCCAAGCCCCGTCCCAAGTCGCCTCGGAGCCGTGTAGTCTCAGGGAAACTGCCTGTCCGACATTTCGTATCCGGGTCCTGCCTAGGGAAGTCAGCGCCCTGCTTTGCACACCCCTCCTCGCCGCGGATGCGTCAGACCCCAGCCCTGTTCACAGAGAGTGATGCCCAGCCGCACAGGGTGCCCAGTGGCCTCCGCTCTCACTGCACTGGGTACTGCTGCCCTCAGTAGCACTCACCACTAAGCACTGCAAAGGGCATTAGCCGGCGCGTTTCCCTCCCAACTTCCTGCAGTCTTCCAGCTGATTCTCCCACCTGCAGCTGAAGCTGGGACTTCTGGCTTAAACCCTCCCTGGACAGCCCACCCCACCCCCCCGCCCCCATGATCAGCCCCGCTCTGGAGCCTCTGTGGCGCTTTCTGGGAGTGCCGGGGAGAAATGCAGGAACTTGCCTTTGTGCCTGGCACAAAGGCCACCTGCTGTCCCCTACCAGAACAGCTTCCCAGGAAGTACTTGTGAGCTGCCGGGGAGTAGTAAAGTGTCAAAGCCTGGGGACTACAGAACAAGCTCCAGGATTCCTGCTGGGCTCCCACCTTCCCCCTGCAGGCATCACCCCCGACAACGGCCGAGGGGTCTCTGCTCATCACAGGCTGCTGCCCCTCACTGCAAGAAGTGGCCGAGGCAGCACCGGCCCAAGAGAGGAGCACAGCACTGGGCCTGCAGGACAGAAAGCATCTGCTGACCAACGAGGCCGCTGGGCTCCAGGGTGTCATCTGGGTCACCGCCAGCACCCCGTAAGTCACCCCAGACCAGCTCACTTGTCACAAGAGCCCCTTCCTTCTCCTTCCCGGCCCCACACCCAATCTCGCTCCCAAACTGGTCATAAACTGGCCTGTCCTGGGCAGGCCCCCCAGGTGGGGACACCATCCCAGAGCCTTTGGGGGGACCCAGGCCTGGCTCAGGCAGACCCTCTGCCTTCCCTGGGCCCCAGGACCCCACAGCCCTGGCCACCAGGAGGACCACACCAGTCACACCCAGTTTGGGGGCAGTGAAGACCAGGCCAGGCCCACAGCTGGGGCTCTGACCTCAGTTTCCCTGTCTGCAGGGACAGGGAGGGGCCAGGGATACTGTCGAATTCAACACCCGCTGTCTTCTCTTTGTGCCAGGCTCTGGGGTACTCTCAGAGGGCAAGGCCCTCCAGCTCCAGCTTCCCAAGACTCAAACATAGGACACTAAAAACAAAGTGATAGGGACCAATGTCTTGAAGGCCACCTCATACCTAGACAGACACTAAGAAATTTGGGTTGAGAGCTGGGCATGGTGGTGTACATAATCACAGCACTAAGGAAGGCTGAGGCAGGCCGGTGGAAAGTTCAAGGTCAGTGTGGGCAACTTAGAGACTGAGAGCCCTCTCAAAATAAAAAGAGGGCTCAGAGTGAAGGCCTTGGGTTCCAGCCTCAATACAAAAGGAAGTTAGAAGAGAAGGAGAAAAGGAGGGAGAGAGGGAGGTAAGGAGGGAGGGAGGCAGACAGCGAGGGAAAGTTCCCGCGCCCAGCTCCACGCTGGAAGGCAGCCGCTCAGAGTGGTCCCGGGGGTCCCAGGGCCGCCTACCTGTCGCGCAGGTGTCCCACGCGCAGCCCCAGCGCAGTGACCTCGGCCTCGGGCACCGCTACCCCCCTGCAGGACTTGATCGGGTAGACCCAGAGCTGGGCCACGGTGCCCACCT